GGGGGGGGGGGGGGTGAACAAAAGCTGCTTGAATATTTATTTTCCCCTTTGTGAGATCCAATTCTTGGCTCCTTTGCTGAAGGCACGGAAAACTTTTGACAGGGGTTAACATGAATTTATAAATTTGCTGTTTTCAGTGAGATTCTTATGTCTTTTGTAGGTTTTGTTTTGTCAGATATAGATTTGGTATTTTAAAAAAAATAGTTTTCTTAGAAAAATTGTGTTTGAAAAATCATTTGTAAGAGCACATCGTGTGATATGTGGGTTTGACATACATCACAAGTTCGAACCCTACCACAGACAAAAGCCTAATATTTAATTGGAGAGGGATAGAGGGGCGGACCCATTATCCACCTATTTGAGTCTTGTGCCACCTGGTCCTCGGGGATTTCTTGGTTATCAAAAAGAGTATCACTGAAGCTCGGAAACATTTTAGACGCTTTCATATGCGTGTATATGCAAATGACAAAAAAAAAAATGATTTTGCAATTGAGAATAGCTATCGAGGCATTTTTGGAATTTAATTGGTTTCCAGAAACGATGCATGTGTTTTAATACTTGGCAAATCGGTGTTGGAAGTGTTGTGGCTTAAGTGATGAATTGTAGATCTACAGACATTATTGGAATCCTTTGAAGTGATTTACTGATGTCTTTCCTATGTCTCTTTATGGTCCAGATATGATAGAGCTAGGGGAGTTGAAATAGGGAACAAGGACATCAAGCTTGAATACTTGGAAGAGGCGTACACGACTTCTAATTGGATAGTGCGAATTTATAAAGTCAAACCGCCCAAGAACAGGTGGTAAACTGGATCTCCTTTCTATCACCACTGTGGGATTAGCTGTAATGAGGATCTCAATTTTTGAAAGCATTAGATAGATATAGATTACTGCTTTGTTTCATCTTCTATTTTGGGGTGAAAATTTATGGCTCAAGTTGCCTGGGATTTTTTTTTTTGGGGCAGATTTTGTAGTAACTTCTTTTCACTAATATGACCTAGTGTATTACTTCTGTAAGTCTAGTTTCTTTTAAATCTTTCGTGGTTGAAGGAACTTGAGAATGGGATAATGGTAATTCATTTATGGTTTAAGGAAACTTGAGAATGGGATAATGTTAATTCATCTATTTGGTATACGGCATTGAGATTTGAAACTTACTTTGTGACTACTAATTACCTCGTTAGTTGGCTACTTTGGTCTCTTCTTTCCAAAATTAAGTGGAAAGGGATCAAAGATTGACATTAGTGGTGAGCTGATTTGGAAGTAATACGTGAAACTTGTCCGGCAGAAAATGTCCCCAACCTTTGTTTAGTTTCCAAGGAACTATATATCTTGCCCTTATATTGTAAAGCAATTGATATTTCTACAGCGAGACAGTTTTTCATTACGAAAAATTATCTTATTTAAAAAAAAAAAAAAGGAAAGAAAGAAAGCAAAGAAGCAATATATGCTATAATCATTTTTCACATAGGGGGAAAAGCTCAATTGGACCAGGGAACTTGGGTAAATATTTACCTGTACTTATTTGTACCAAATCATATTAACTTATCATCGTTGAGTAATTTGACGAGGTAAAAATTTATATTAGTTGCATGATAAAAAATTATTTTCAAATACATATTATGCATATATTGATTTGCCATCAATATTGAGTGTGGATAAATTTTTACTACTGTTTTTTTTTCCCTTCAACTTCACATCACCTAGTTAGTCACATAACTAGGTCACGTTCTAGCCGGAGAGGAAAACTTTTACGATTCGGAAAGTCATATGACTACTCTGTCGGAATATCAAGTGAATGCCCCATGCTGTATTAGAACCACTTTTTGTCACATTTTTAGAGGTAAATAGATGGAGGTAAGTGTATTGATTGATTTGTAACTTTGTATGATGACTTACTGAACAGAACGGCAGATGGTCTTAACTTTATGAAGCAATAGGTGACAGTTTTTTGATTAAAGAAAACACTAGACATGAGATCAACTTAGGAAAATTAAGTCACAACCGAAATAACATGTACAAAGTTTATTTCTTCTTTATTTACATGTAGTAAATAGTATATTATCATCCACTTGCACTCCAAACAACCATAACTTCAGTTGGTTTGGCAACACGATGGATAACGTAATGAGCATGAAGTCGTGATAAAGAAGATCCCATTAAATAAGATGATTGAATATTTTGGCAAATAAAATTACTGACTAATTAAAAACTTACAAGGTCTACTATGCTTCATTAAAATAACCACAAATATATTAGTTAAGGTTAAATTTAAGAAAATACGTGAGTTCCCAAACACTAATTCCGCATTAGCCAAAAATTAATTTTTTTAGCATTTGCATAAACCATAAAAATTACATTTGAAAATTCTTATAAGTTTTCATGTTTGAGTTCCAAATGCTACTTAATTTTGCAAACGTTTTCTAGAATGGGGCTAAATAAACTTCAAAATTTACAGAAGTCAATAATCACTCACGCTCACTATTTTAGAAGCCGAATCGAAGGTTCGTTTAAGTTTTGGTAATTGGTAGCAGGGCAAAAACTTTTGATTTGATTCTGACTCTATTACCGCAGACATTATATCTTATTTTATGGCTTCAAAAGTAAGATACTATAATTTTTGAACAAATATGTTGTCTAAAGTGGGAAGTCGGAAAGCAAAATGATTAGACATATTCCACGTGATGTGTTATTTAAAAAGCTACTACTGTAATTAATCAATTTATATGCCTCCTATATCCTCCAACCATCACTACACAAATCTCTTGCTTTCTTTCTTCTAAGCTACAGCTATAGCCTATAGGTTTGATTAATACTGCAGATAACGACAGAATTTGTCATCCCTTGAGTAGTTGAGTTGTATAAAATACTAGTGCTGCTATCTAGCTACCTTTGACCCATAACTTGTAGAGCATTTTAGAGTTAATGGTAAAGATTGGACTATTCCCTATCGTCTATCGAGACCGACGACAAAAGCTCTTAAATTAGCAGATTGCCTTTTCTTAAAAGTTTCCCAACTACTAATCAAGTGATATGAATTTTCCTTGCCTCTTGGGGAGTGGAAGACATTTTGACAAGGACTTTGAGGATTGAACGTCTTACATGTATTCTTAAGGGTATGCTTAATCCTCAGCTGAAATAATTCCTCTAATATCAAAAGTTCTTGTTCTTGCCAATCTGCCATACTGAAATAAGGACAACACATAAACGACTGTCACCTAATTAACCTCAGCCAGGAACTACAATGATACACATTGCTGATTCACAACGCAGTCCATGCAAACATTCCCATATAGTCATGTAAAAAACTTAATGAAGTGCAGACAATTGCATTTCCACCAACTTCCCCTCCTCTTCAATCCTGTTTATGCAAGAACTAAGTCATGACATGACATGAGAAAGCTGCTTATAAGAGTAAGAACCTGGTAAAAACAACTGTATACGTGCTTTAGGACAAAATTGGATTAGAACTTGTCCGTAGTACGTCTAAATATTATTATGGGAAGGTCTAGAATAACATGATGGCAAACGACTGAAATTAATCCTAAGCCACGTTACAGGATAATCCATGAATCTGAACAAATCAAAATGCAGTTACACTATTCTAATGAATGAACAATACACAGCACGGAACAAAAATAACATCAGTATGAGACCCTTTGAGAGACTTTATTCTAGAGGGAGTATGAGAGATGGTAGCAAAGAGATACACACAACCTACCTCTTGAAAAACAAGCTGACGAAAATAACAAAAATAATCATCACAAAGTAAAGGCACCAAATCATTAAGTCAAGGAATGATAAATGTCAGCCAAGTTAAGTGTTGAATAACATATTTGACTCAACATACACATTCTGTTCAGTAGGACATCTGTCCTAGACCCTAGACACTTTACCTCCTTTAGCGAGGGCATAAGGCACTGCTCATTCTTGAATTTAGATGTTTATTGACTATACTTGTTTAAAAACGTAACAGTAATACAGTGAAAAACAGTCACTGATTTCACTATAAATAGGTACAGAATGCTTTTAACAAGGACCTAGCAACTAAGATAGATACTATATACAAGCTGAAGACTAAAAAGGTTCACTTGGCCTGCTAAGAATTAAACCAAATTAACACATGAATCCATACCCTCCTTGTTAACAACTTGTCATTCCTGTTTCCTTCAGTTTACAAGAGAATGGATCCATCATCACAGGGAGCCAGCTATACGTACACTATGTCAACAGAAGCAGCAGGGATTTTGAGTGTGATAGAGGTAAGCCAGGAGCTTACTCCGAGTGAAAAATATCCAAAATAAAATAGAAAGCGTGGTTTGTTGGCAGTTCACCACTCAAAGATACAAAACAATAAGGGGCTACAGCCAAACCAAACTGATATTCAAGGTTGTGGTTTGAAATGTGAAAGATCTAGTTTAACCACAGTTACATCTAACACCCTCCTCAAAACATATATATTCATGTTATTGACCCTATCCATTTTTCTTCTTTTTGAGACCTTGTGTCATATGTAATGTGCACGATCCCCATCAGTTCGTATACACCAAACAAAAGCAAATTAACTAACTCGATAAAACACAGACTCCGAGGCTAACTTAAAACAAATGATCAACAACTCAAACAATCAAAAACATTATTTCCCGAAATTCCCATATATTACAAGGATGGGGCACCTGTAATTCTCAGATACTAGCATACACAAAACTTAATGTAACAAATATGGACATACAACCTCATAACTCTGTTCCATACTTTAATTAATCGAGATCCTCCTGCCGTGCTTGCCCTCCAGAACCTGGATTTGACTCCTCACCACGAGCATTGTTGCTCGTACGGTTGTTGTCGTTGTTTCTATTGTTAGTATCATTGCCGCTCGCTCCTCCACTATTGCTCGTCTCAGCAGGTGATCCAAGTCCCCTGAAAAGCCATTGTAATGGTATCCTAAGCCTCCCGTCAACTGTCCTAGGTGTATGAGAATTCTCCTGATTTTCCCCACCACCTTCTGAACCCCCCAATACCCAACCAGTATTATTGTTGTTGTTGGTATTGTTATTGCTACTATTATTGGCATTCGAATTTGCATTCTGCTGTTGTGATGTTCTCCTATTCTCATAATCAGGATCATCGGTGGGCAATTCATAGCGACAAACGGGGCAAGAATTGTGCAACTCCAGCCATGGCAATATACAGTCCTTGTGGTATATATGTTTGCAAGGCATCTGCTTCGCTTCCTCACCGAGTTCAAAAGTATCTTTACAAACAGCACATTGAGATGAATCAGAATCCAACAACTCCACTGTGATCTTAATATCCGGAAGCCCAGCAACAGCCGATTTCGCAGCTGGAGGTGCACCGTAACGGTTTGGATCATTCTCCGCAAGCTGTTGGATCAATTGTTCAAGCCCAGGCCCATGGAAATAGTCACCGAAATTCCCCGGAAACCTAAACTCACCACCACCACCGCCACCGCCAGGATGGTTCTCAAAGATTAACTGAATATTAGCACCACCGGCCCTCATAGTACTCACATAGTTGTTGAGGAAAGCGAATGGATCGAATTGATTGGGGGATCGACTGGGGAAGGCGGCACCACCAGAGATACCGCTGAGTAGCGCGGAGAGATCATCCAAAGCGACGGCACCGCCGGCAGGGGAAGCGGCACTGGAGGAGAAAGCAATCGGAAAGCCACCGCCGCCGAAGGGAAGGTCATCGGTAGTGGCGGCGGAGAAGAAGGGAAAATTATCGGGATTATTAGGGTTAGAAGGTGGTGGAGCGGTTTCGGATTCTTCTAGAAACGTACCGTTGCAATTAGGGCATGTGAGTTCGGAGTTTGGCGATGGCGTAATGGTGACTGTCTGTTCACATTGGTAGCAGTGATAATTCTGCGGTTGATTGCCGGTAGCACCGCCTCCCCCACCACCGCTACCAAAGGTTCCGGGCGACGACATTTTTTTGGGTCTATATATGGATATGGAGAAAGAGAGAAGAAAGAAGAAAGAAGAAACGAAGGGAAACTGAAATTTAGAGAGAGAAGAAGAGAAAATCGATGTGAGAGAGAGAAGTTAGGGGAATTTGAGAAATCGATGAAAAGAGGAGAAAGAGGGGCGCGTGAAATTGCAATTGCGAGTATAAATAGCTGATGGGCTAATTGAGTACTCGCTCTTGGATAGGTGGAGATTTTCGTGTGGGGTCGGTGATAAGGGAGACTACAACTTCCGAGTCCCAGGTAAGTTGCTGTATAAGAATGTTCGCAGGTTTAATATACATACACATACACATGGCATCTAATTAGGCGCAATTGTAATTGATTTGTTTAATTTAATTAATTAAGATCCCTCCAGTTCAGGCAAGTGTCCTTTTGTCAAAATGTTATTACCTACAAATGAAATAGTCCATCATCTATATATTTCCTTCAAATTGTCTCAAACCAACAACTAGTTAAACTAAGCTAGCGTTTGACCATAGATTTCTAAATTTATTTTGAAAAATCTGATTTGGGTGAAGTTTGGTTTGAAGATGAAAATGTGTTTGGACATGATTTTTCAAAACATATTTCACTTTTTATTTGAAAAAATATGAAACATGACTTATACCCCACAAGTTCTAAAAACTATCACAAATACCCAATAGTACAATTATCACAAACCATAGTCCTGAACATAAATAAATTTGGTACAAAATTATCATTTTTATAATGAACTATATAAATCATTAATTATAATGAAATCCCATTAGAGAATTACGACTCCTAATCAAAAAGAAAAAGTTAACTGATATGAGTATTCAGAAAGCCATTTAACCTACAAATCAGAAGCAAAAGTAAGATGCACAAAGGATTGAGCTGATAAGGGAGCATATTCATCAAATATTTAGTTGGTCGTAATAAATGTGGGCTCTTTTACAAACTATAAAAGTTTAGGGTAATATTTAAAATTTTTAAAAAATGTAACGGTCATGTTTTGGCCCAAAATCAGCAATTGAGGTGATTTTGGGATTTTGGATTTGGGATTTTGCCAAAATGTGGGCAAAATCTATGGCCAAACACACATGTGTTTGCCAAATAAATCCCAAATTTATTTTGGCAAAACTCATGGCCAAACGGGTCCTTAGGAGGAGTGCAACAAGGTGAAGTTTTTGTTTTAATTGAATCAAGCCTCTCTAGAAGTTCAAAAAAGTGAAGCTGAGAAATTTTAGGAGAAAAATAGAAAGTAAAATGGTAAGTTTTTTCAATTGAAATAAGGAGGAAGCTTTTCATATACACAGAGTTAGAAAATAGAGAAATTAATCATAGTGCACGAAAATGAACCCAAGAGCCAAGAGGTTGGATAAGTTGGCATTGCTTTCTAAGCAAAGTTGCAGAATTCACGTGAATTCCTAATTCTGGTATAAAAAAGAGTGGACCCTTTGAAAAAGAACTCAATCTAGATTGCATTCATTAACAATATAAGAACACAACAGTCCATATTTTTACTTAAAGCCAACTAGAGCCAGGCACTTTCTTGACATCCCTACTTTGCATCAGTTCCCGCAAAGTTCCAACACCATCCCAGTTCTGCAGACCAGCAAATGTGTTGGACAGTAACACGTAGATTGAAGGATCGACTCTGTCGACTTGTAATGCTCGTTCTGCTGCTCGTTTTGCAGCTTCCATATCCCCATGAAGCCGAGATGCTCCAAGCAAGGTTTGCCAGACCAACAAACCTGGTTGAAATGGCATGCTTAAGATTAATTTCTCAGCTTCTCTAATGCGGCCAGCACGTCCGAGGAGGTTAACCATACAAGCGTAGTGATCTTCTCCAGGGAGAATACCATAGTCATGACTCATTGAAGTGAAATACTTCCATCCCTCGTCAATAAGTCCTCCTTGGCTGCAAGCATAAATCACACATATGAAGGTAATATAGTTAGGATCTGCCCCATCCTCCCTCATCTGATTGAAAGTTTCAAGAGCTTTTTTGGGATATCCATTTTGCGCATAACCCATAATCATAGTGGTCCATGAAACAGTAGTGTGTTCACCCATTGATCGAAAAGCCATGAATGCACCATCCATGCAACCACATTTCACGTACATGTCAAGCATTGCATTATCTACACAGACATCAATGTCATCCCCAAGTTTGATCCGCAAGCCATGAACTTTCTCCCCTTCTTGGAAAGACACTGTATTGGCACATGAACTAAAAGCAGTTGCTAGAGTAAACTTATTCGGCATCACTCCTGCCCTTCTCATTTCTCCAATGACCCTGAGAGCTTCAATTGGCTCGTCACAGTTCAAACACCCTGCTGCCATCTGCGTCCAGGAACAAACGTCTTTTAAAGGGATCTCCTCGAATGCTTTGAAACCCTCAGCCAAGCTTCGATTTTTCAAATACATATCCACCAAAGAGTTCCCTACACACATTTCACTTCCATGACCAGACTTAACAAGTTGGCCATGAACTTGGATGCCCAAATCAAGATCCAAAAGCTCCGCCAACCCAGTAAGAACACTAGCAAAACTGAAGTTATCTGGTACAAGTCCTTCCCTGATCATCCTGTACCAAAGCCTTGGCACCTCCGAGCAACAAGATTGCATGCAGCCACCTAGCATCGCATTCCAAGTCACAATATCTTTATTTAAACACCAATCAAAAACCTTCAATGCTTCACCTAATCTACCGTGCCTTATCAAAGCTGTCAAAAAAGCATTCACTAAGTAAACATTAGACTCAAACCCAAGTCTTGTGATTAGTCCGTAAACTTGGTATGCATGAGTCAAGTTTAATCTATCCTCAAACGAGCAAGCATGGAGAGCGCTCACAAAAGTGAACTCATTAGGCTTCGTTCCACTCTGGTGCATACGGGTAAACAAAGAGAAAGCTTCAATAGGATATCCCTTCTGCACAAAGCCAGCAATGAGGGCAGTCCAAGATACTACATTTTTCTGAGGCATTTCATCAAACAGTTTGAGTCCATTCACCGTGTCCCCACATTTCATATAAGCATTTAAAAGATGGTTGTGCAAGTATAGCGAAGACACGCTGCCTGAGTTTTTCAGTAGTTTCGCGTGAATGGCTTTCGCGTTATCCAATTTTGATGTCTTCACACATTGACGCAGTATATTTGAATACTTGCTCTCCTCCTCCTCCTGGTTCTTGTCCCATGTGAATGACATAGTGACAAGCGATCTGTAGTTTTTCTTTGATGTAAATGTAGAGAAAGACGGTTCATTATTATGGATACTAATTCGTGTTTCATGTAAAGTTGTGAGCTTTCTGAGTTTAGAAATAAGCATATGCGCTTTTTTGGGTTCATATAGCTTCTTCTTCTTCTGTTATAAATGAGATGTATGCATGTGAGATGTATACATGTGAGTGACGGGAATGCATTCGTCAGTGCATTTAACTTTAATCGTACTTTGTATTCATGTACTTAATTAAAAAATATATTAACTTATAACCTTTGACTGTATTTGTATATTTATAAATAAGGAACTTTTGACCGAACACACCAATAAAAGAAATAACAAAATCATTCCCCCTCATATATATTTTGTCTAGTATATTATTCTATTGTGCTCTCATTTCTTAATATGTTATCAACACGAAGTTCTAACCAACTGAGGTTATCTCCTTCATCCGAATTTTATCTTCTTCCTAAAAGAGGTAGTCAGTTTCTTTTCCGATTCAGGTATACATTCCTATGTTTATAACGTTTCTATTAGGATCTTCTTTAACCAGCAATTTAATTACCATATGCATAACTTGTTTTGAATATGATTATAATAATTGCATTGGTATGAAAACAATAAGTTTCGGTTAAATTGTTATTTCATTATATAAACTACGAAGAAGTTTAATCCTACACATAAATAAATAAGTATTAAAATTGAATTACAATAATTAGACTAATTAAGCCCACATCCAAATATTCTAATAGAATATGCATTTAGAAGGAATTCTTGCAAAATTTTTGAAAGGTTTAAATGTGTCTTTAATAAATTTATCACCTAAGTGTACAAACTAATTAATGACTTTAAAATTAACGACTGAACTATTAGATGAATCGTATTGAATGTTGAAACTTGTCAGAATTGATATCATCTAGTTTTATGCCTACTTAGCTTATTGAAACGTATTCTAAGTAGAACAAAATTATACTAGTACATATTAATTCAACTTATTTATTCTATGAAAATATACTTACATGTCTAAAATTTTTGTGGGTAATATTAAACACTAATTTATCATCGCACTGCACATAATTATTTGTTTGATAATTTTACATATAGAATATTAATACGCGATTATGTATTGCACTGAATTGATAATAATTCTTGTCTTTCTAATTCCCTTATTTCTATGATAGTTTTCACTATGTCGAATTTGTCAAAGCTTGAATTTATTGCACTTGACATCTCTTGGAATAACTATTTGACATGGGTACTTGATGCTGAAATTCACCTTGACGCTAAAGGTCTTGGTGACATTATTAAAGAAGAAAATGAAGTATCAAGTCACGATAAGGCGAAAGCCATGATTTTCCTTCGCCATCATCTCGATGAAGGGTTAAAAAGTGAATATTTAACCTTGAAAGATCCATTTCAATTGTGGACTAGTTTGAAGGAACGATATGACCACCTAAAGGCCACGTTATTGCCAAGAACTCGTCGTGAGTGAATGCACTTACGACTACAAGATTATAAAACCATAAGTGAATATAATTCTGCTGTATATAGGATAATTTCCGAACTAAAATTATGTGGGGAACTTATGAATGATGAGGACATGCTGGAAAAGACTCTTTCCACTTTTCGTGCCTCAAATATGGTGTTACATCAGCAATAACGTGAAAAGGGCTTTAAGAAATATTCTGAGTTAATTTCATTCCTTTTGGTGGCTGAACAACATAATGCCCTTTTAATGAAAAATCATGAAGCCCACCCCACTGGATCAGCTCCATTTCCAGAAGCGAATCTGAGAACGATAGATCCAAAGTCTGAAAAAAGACAAAATAATTATCGTGGCCGTATAAATATACGTGGGCGTGGTAAGGGGAGAAATAATAATCGCCATGGTGGTGGTCGTTATAAACAAGAGAACAATAAGAGTTCTCAGAATAATCCTTC